TAGTAAACAATTAAAAAAATGGTAAAATATCATTTGTTCATTTATCCTATCCAGTTCGTCCAACCAAACGTTGGATTCATTAAAAATAGTCATTTCCAGACATCTAATCCCATGAAAAAACAAACACAGAATACATATCCAATCCAACCAAAATACTCCTGGAGATTCACAATTCCAGGACTCAAGTCCGATGGATTATAATCTCCCTTATCCAGTCCGTCCAATCAAACACACTCTTCATGTATTATTCAGTGATACCCTTTTTTTCTTTTTTTCTTTTTTTTTTCTCTCTCTCTTTAATTATGATTCGAAAATATAAAATTATAATATTTTCTACTTCAATTATTAAAATGCATATGTACCATAATCTTCCCCTCAACATTAACAATAATAATTACTTGATTATATCCTTCAATAAATGACTCTACTGCCCTCATTCTTACTTCATCATTATCTCGTCCTTCTTTTCTTTTTTTTTTTTTTTAATTTTTTCTGTTCTTCTTCACTAAACCAATACAGTGGCTACCCCTCCCCACCTTGCACATGACTACCGTCACACCACTGAGTCCCCCACCCTCCACCCTGCCATCACCTATCCCTTTCTTTCCTATCACGGACCTCATCACCTCCCCCATTTCATTTTTTTTTTTTCTTTTCTTTTTTGTGCGTGCGTGTAAAAAAGAGTGTTGAGAGTTAAATAAGTATTTTAATAAATAAAATTACTGATAGTGGCAAAATCAATTAGTCAACCTAAACAATTGATCAATTAGTCATGACTAACAATAAGGCTGTTTATTATGCGATTTGAAACTTTAAAAGGGTTATATTTTTCGAAGCTTGACAGAAAATTTTATATTTTAAATAAATTTTAAAGGATGTATTTATATATATATATATATATTTAATTTCTCCATAATAATAACCAATTAATTGACATTCCTGTGTTAAGTCATTTGATAATTGGACTAAAAGGTATAGTTAAGTTTTGAGAGACCATTTTGCCCCCACTTCAGTGATCTAAACCTTTCAAAATTTGGTACCTAATAAATAGATAAACGTGTTACTAACAAGTGTCTCTAGAGTATCACTAAAAGACAAAAAATCAAACGAATCATATATTAATAACCATATATTTAATTTTTTAAAAAAATTAATGGTCATATTTGTCCTAAACTGCAACCACCAATCCAAAATAATAGACTTGAAGTAAGCTTCATTCCATTAAAAATGGGGAGGGGGTGGAGGCACAGGGATAAGTCTAATTTTAAATTTTTTTGAGCAATAATTCAAAGTTTTAGTTTTTTATATCAAAATGATAACAAAAAATTTGAAAGATCACATTATTATTACCAGCAATGCTAGGTGGCCATAAATTTTGTGACTCAAATGGTTCAAAACACCCAAAACAACGTCGTTTTGGCAGTTTCGAGCCATTTAAACCATAGAATTTGTGGCCACCAAACATTTTCCTATTATTACTTATTTGTCTATCTATTTATATGTTATCTCTCTATTTATCTATGTGTCACTTATCTATTCACTTAATTTATCAATTTGTTCGTAATCACTATACCATCACTTGTCGCCGTTGGCTACCTCTGATAATTTTACCTATGTCAAAAACTTTTTTTGGTTGTCAATTATAGTCCAATGGTGATCGGGTGACAGTTTAGTAAAAATAAAAAATAAAAAAACAAATTCAAAACAATAACTTGCCAATATTACTAAACAATTTCATTAATCATGTATTATATGATCAATTTTCTGTTTTTTAAGATTTTTTTTTAAGCTAGAAAAAGGCTTGTTGGCAAAATATATTAAAAGTTAATTTTTTAATTTTTTTTAAATGTATAAAAAAAAAATAAAAAGATAATGAGGTGAAGTCGGCCGTTGTACTTGGTGGGGAGCAGCGAGAGTGGTGAAGAGCAGCGAATAACTTCTCAGGCAACTTGTTGATGATATTTTTCAGTTGGAGAAAAGGGTGGGAAGGGGGGCTGATTTCTGTTGCGAAATTAATGAATGCATGCCACGAGGTGAAGTCGGCCGTTATACGGTGGCACGCTCCCTTCCCTCCACGTGCCCCCACCACCTCAACTAGTTTTTTTTTTGTGTGTTTTTGTTTTCTCTCTCTCTCTAAACTGTTTCACTTTCTCACTCCTCTTCTTCTTAGGCTAAATTGGTATATTTTTGTTAATCATCAGAGTTTGAGAGCATTTTGATTGTTTTGTTTGATCTCAGAAATCATCAAATCAATGGCGGCGTCGATGCTGAGAACGAAGAGCTTTGTGGTGATGAGAGAGAGAGACGGAGGAGGAGGAAGGCTAGGTCTATCGAACTGGTGGAACGAAATCGAGAACTCTGAACAATGGCAACAAGGCATCTTCTATACACTCTGTGCCTCTTATGCATTGGTCTCCTTGATTGCCCTAGTATGTTCCTTCTCTTTTTATTTATTTATTTATTTATTTCGTTCTTTATATTGCTAAGAAAATGTTATATTTAGTAGATTTTTAATCTGATTTTATTGGACTGAGTTTTTTTTTTTTAATATTATATGTTAGGCATTTGTGTTTTAAAAATGTTTTGATAGAAAAATATGTAATATATTAATACAAATATATGTAACGTTATCACATAATTTCATTTTTAAATTATAAATTATTGCGTTAAAATGGGTTTTCCTTTCATATAAGACATGGGCTCCACTTACAATATTTGTTTCACAGTTAAAAAATATAATTTTTTTAAAATTTATGTTTCTACAAGGATCTTAAAAATTAAATTAAAAAATAAAAATAAAAACAAGAAAAAAGTTTTAAAAAAAATATATTTTATTTTTGTTTTTTTAAATAATTTTTTTACGTCCAGTCTAAAGAAGATCTACAAGTGAATTTTTTTTTAAAGTTTATAAAAGATATAAATAAATAAATAACTATTAAAAAATAATAATTATCAAACTCAACCTTATTAGTGTGGGCTCTATTGGCTATATATTTAGTGGTAAAAATGATGGGAGAAAAATGAGTATAGAATTACTCATATAGTTATGCCTTCAATGTCCCTTGAATCTATTACCTGATTTTCTTTGTTAATTATGCATATATTACCTTGACTATATTTGGGTATCATCTTTATGTGTAAAAATCATTAGGCACGAATCCAAAGTTTTACAAAATAGGATAAGGTAAAAATATTTAAATTTTGAAAGATTAAAGTAAATTATATAGATTTTGCGGGGTAAAATTGTAAATTTGGACTACTGAGATGTTTCTAATTGCCATGATCTGGCCCCTTATATTTGCCATCAGTTAGTCGACGGAAACGAAATGACGGAACCAACTACATAAAACATGTGGCACAATCTTAATGAAATACTAATTTTTATTATGGATATGGTCAAGAATATTTTATATAGTTAATTCCCCTAATATTGTCGATTTGTCATTGATCATATGGTATTCACAATTTGGTCACCATATCATTGCATTATGTTCATACCATGCGAGAAGGATTTGAAAGGGATAACCAATGGAAAGTTGACATGATATGTGACATTGTGAGGTTAATATTTGATAATGTTTAGTGGTAAACACCATTATGATTTTTTGATTTTTTAAACAAAGAAAATGATATATATATATATATATATATATTTTGGATTTGTTTTGGGAAAAAAGTCATACGAACCTTCTTTTTTTTTGTTGTTAAATTACAATGATGGGATTCGTCCCCAGATTAGTTAGGTCCTTTTAACCAAATATTAAGTTATCAAAAAATGAAGGTAAAATACAATTACACCCTCTAAGATTTTCTTAAAATACGAATTGTCCTCCCTGTGATTTTAAAAATTACATCTCGTCCATTCAAGTTTCTAATCGCATAACAAATAATCTCTTTTATTATTAAATCATAACTCAATTAACAGTTTTTAATGATATAAAAATTGTACTTCAATTAAAGATTCAAATAATTTTATTGTTGTATAGGAAGGTAACTAGAAATTTCATTTTTTTTCATTAATCATGTTAAATAAAAAATTATGACAAGAGGTATTTGTAATTTTTAAAATTACAGGAAGCAATTCGTATTTTAAGAAAATCCCAAAATGTGTGTTTGTAATTTACGCCCCAAAAAATACCCAACCTATTTACAAGCTTAAACTATGACCATGTTAAAGAGGGAACTTAATTATTTTTATCCTTGACACCCCTCACTTGTGGCCATATCATACCATGTTAAATTCTTAATTATCAAAAAGTTAGATATCTTGAACATTGGCTATAATTGAGTTTAACCCTAATCAAAATTTTAGCAAAAAGCCTTATATGAAAATCTCCTATTATCATTCAAATCTAAGTAAGTTATATGTGATTTTGAAACAGACTTAAATGTATTAATCAACCCCAATATTTCAACATAATTTTAAAATACGACAATTCCGATTCACTTTTCTTTGCTTTGAGTTGCAAAAAGCATATATAGTACAAGAAGGGGATAAAATTTGACTCCCCTTTCTAATGGAATCAATACACATCGATTGGGATGTACCTAAGAAGCCGGGATATAGATACAAATACAGACATGTACAAAATATATGATTATATGTATTTATTATATGTAATATACAAGGATAATTTTTTATTATATAAAAAAAAAAAAAGCCAAAGATAATAATTTTTAAAGTTTAAAGGAAGAGAGTAGGTATAAATTTACGTTGTTTTGTTTTATAGTTGGATTTCAAGTTATTTTATTCAAATGTGTAATGTCTTTCATTTTTGTTTTAAGTGTTAAGAAGTGTTTGTCCAATACAGTATTTGACACGACATGTTATTTTTTTAGAAGTGTCCGTTTTTTGTAAGGCAGTACAAATTTGAAATAAACACTATGCATATATATAGCCTATAGGGGACCACTACACCCTAGAATTGTTGTCATCCAATTTAATGAATGACAGGACCTGGTCTATCTCTTCAGTAGTATAATTGAGACAATAGAGCCAATTTATTTGAAAGCTACAGCACACCCATATTTCTTTCTTTTAGTGGCAGATTGGTAAGGAAGAGAAGTTATAGAAGTTGTTAATTTTCTTCTTTCCTTCAGTCTCTATTGATTAAGATTTGAGGGGAACATTTGACCAAGTTTGGATCTTGAATTTGTGGATGGATCTATGGAGGGAATAGGATAGGAAAGGGAAAAGAGGAAAAAAATAGCTTCTACTTCATTTCTTGTTTCCTTTTTCTTTTTTGTTTTCCTTCACAGATCCATTTCACACATCCAAGATCCAAACATAATCTTATAGAAAATGGAGTACAAGTGTGTGTCACATTTCTCACTTGGGCCGGGCACATCTTATTTGCTGTCTATTGTTTTGCAATTACTTCCCCGTTTTTATTTTTTCCGGTATTCCCCCCAACACATAATGGATTGTTGATTTTAACGAAAGTAAAAATTGCTACAACTTTTGGTGGCATGGGTTACTAATGAAGATGTGGTAATAATTGACAAGTTAGAGTTGGGATAATTAAAACTACAGAAATATGATTGCGAATGAACAGTTTATAGTAGGAGGATTGGGTACTGAACACCAGGAGATACCTAACATAATTCATTTTGGTTATGTTGATTGATTGTTAATAAGCAGGAAAACATTGAAGAGGATGCTTTTAGTACAATAAGAGGAAAATGGATGGAATGGAAGAGTGCATTAGTTGAGACAATAAAAATACAGAAATATTTTTGTGAATCAACAAGCTGGTTATAGTATGAGGATTAGGTACCAAACACTATGAGATACCTGAAATAATTCATTTTGGTTATATTTATTGAGTTGCTATGCAAGAGAAGAGAAGAAAGCCAATGCATTCACTTTGGAGAAGCTTGAGGCAGCACTACTCAAGATAGACAAGAACCAAGTTACAATGATTTCATTATGTGAAACAAGTTCAAACAACTATCTTGGGATGTATTACGTAAAGTTGAAAGCATTACATAAACAAGAGATGGGAAATAAGGAAAATAAACAAGAAGAAGAGAATGGGGACTCAAAATGCAAGAAAGATATTGTCACTACTAAATTATGTGAAACATGGATTTAGATCGAGAGTGGTCAAGATTGGTTGTCCCCAACTAATTAGAGGCCTTCGTCAAGTTGAATTTGTTTGGTGACATGTGCATATAAGACATCAAACATGTGTATCAGTGTCCTAAGATACAGTAAACGGGACGGACAAATGTGTCAGTCGCATGTGATTGTCAGACAATACACTTGGCACTACCTTGTATCTGTGTCCTCATATAGGTTAGGAAATGTCTTGTAATTACTCACACTCATTTTCAGTGTCTTTAGCCTTCCTCTATTTATTTTACTACCCTCAACGAAAATCATTTCACTTCTCTGTAGTTCCCATAGTTTTTTAAATTTTGTGACACGCAAAAGATGTGTATAGTTTTATTTGTTTCTTAAATGGCAACGTTGCTTAATTTCAGGTACAATTTGTCCGCATTCAATTGAGAGTACCAGAGTATGGTTGGACAACACAAAAGGTTTTTCACTTGATGAATTTTGTTGTCAATGGATGTAAGGGTTGCATTTTACATTGCTGTAGTTAACTGTGCAACTATTTTTACATCAAGTATATCATAAGCTAGCTAAAAACAAAATGCATTTTGACAGTAAGAGCTATCCTGTTTGGACTGTACAAGACTGTATTCAGTCTCAAATCACAAGTAAGTTTCTTCAAACTGTATTCTGGTAACATGAGCTCCGATCTTATTTAATAGCTAATCAAGAGTATTTGATTTAAAATTATTCAATGATTTATAGAACTTGAAATAAGATAATGGATTTAAAATTACACATCTTATCTGAACTATACGGCTTGACATATTCTGAATGGTAAATCAGGTCGTGTTTTGTTGCCTAAGTCTTCAAATGGTGAGTAAAGTGTTTTTCTGCAAACAATGTGATGCAACTTTTCTTACTTGGGTCAGATACATGGATCCATTTCTGTTTCATTAGTTTCCTTCGAATTTGGATGCAAAACAAAATTCAGAGGTGTCATGAACATTTTATGGGTAATGTTGGGGTAGTGTGGATCATGATAAGTAGTATTTCCGCACCTGTGACAGGGTGCATCTATCTTTGTATCTCTTATAACTTTTCTAATCATAGTAGAACCGCAACAACCATGGACGTAGCCATATTTCTGGAGTAAACTGCATAATTCTTGTGTTCCTGTGTGCGCATGTGATTTATAATTCTCGTACACTCATTCTTCTCTATCTTTCGTGTCTCACTCTTACCGATCATGGTTTGGTGTTACAAATTTCCTAACATGTAAAGCATAACATAAGTGAAATTCATGTTCACTTTGAGATAAAGTATCATCCTTTCTTTTTTTTTTTGGCCATCTCAAAGATCAGGAGGGGTTGAATTGGGCAAATGTAGCAGTACATGTGTTTGCCAATATATTGCTGCAACTTTTTTCGGTTTCTTTGCTGGCTGTCAATTTGTTTTGCATGAAAAACTATCAGATTGTGTCACCTGTTTTTTGTTAGTTTTGTTACCTAAAAATATCGATGCTTCAGGCACTTGAAATGATGCTTCTAGATCTTCCCGGACTTCTATTTTTCTCAACATATACATTACTGATCTTGTTCTGGGCCGAGATATATCATCAGGTGCTCTGCTTTTTGTCTTAGTTTTTCTTATATGTTACAAGTTATTTATCTGCAAGTAATATTGATAATTGATTTTACGATTACCTGCAGGCAAGAAGCCTTCCAATTAATAAACTTAGACCTGCTTACTTTATTCTAAATGGAGCTATATATTTCACGCAGGTGGGTAAAAATCGTAAAAGCATCTAATTTCTCATGACCTATTCAACAAATTACACTCTAGAAAAAAAACGAGAGATAAAAGAGAACAAATGTAACCTTTTTTTTTAGTAACTATCCCAGTTATTAGTGAATTTGTTGATGATAGGTATGCATCTGGATTTACATAAGACTTGGCCAAAGTCGTGCAGCGGTTGAATTTTCTAAAATCTTCTTTTCAGGTAGTATTATAAAAAATAATAATTTACTTTCATGCACTTACTCAATTTATTTGGGGACAATGCTTCTGTGTGTTTTGTTGTCATGATGATTAAGAAAATGAGAAGAAAGGACCATTTGTTTCTTTTTGCAGTTATTTGTTTCTGCACTGCTTTGGGATTCTTGACATATGGTGGGAGGTACAGCCAAGATCACCCCAAACAAAAAGGGCTTGTTTGGTTTGTGTTTGTACAGTAGTTTTTGAGATAAAAAGTATGAAAACTTGTTTGGTTTGCCTTTTTTCAAAAATAGTTTTGGAAAATTGTTTTGGGGAGAGAGTTTTAAAAAAAGTGATTGATTTGATGTGTATGAGAGAGAGAGATTTTGGAAAGAAGCAAACCAAACAAAATTTTGAGATTTTTTTTGAAAAAATTTGTTTGGTTTGATTACTCTTGAAAAGTTGTTTGTAGAGAATTTTTTCCAAAAATTTTTCCCAAAAGACAACCAAACAAGCCCAAAAAATTCCATCATCATTTGGTGTTACGAAGATGTGTTTATTTTTTGTGCTACATTAAATTCTGTGTCCTGTAGGTTGTTCTTCATGCTGAGGCGGTTCCCTATTGAATCTACAGGTCGTCGGAAAAAGCTTCATGAGGTCTGTGTAAATGGGAGTATAGCAACTGTGTTTGGCTTTAAATACCCTTTTTCTTGTTCAAATTTGATTAATACTCCAACTTAGTTATCCTTCTTGTTGATGTCCTTTTTTACTGATCAAAAATTTAAAATAAAAATGAGCCCACTAAACATGTATTTAATGTTTAGATAAAAAGTAAAATATGATTTTTTTAAGTAATTTAGTTGTTTTCATGGCTTTTGTCAAATCAAATGCTTATTCTATCTGTTTGGCAGGTCGGCTTTGTAACAGGAATTTGTTGCACCTGTTTCTTGATAAGATGCTTTGTGGTGAGTTTCTTTTGATTCTATATTGAGCACTTGTGAAATCCAAAATTTAATTTATGTGACTAGATCACCTTGATTGGTATGAGATGTATGTAGGTAGCTCTCTCTGCATTCGATGAGGATGCTGATGTCGATGTCCTGAATCACCCTATTCTAAACTTTGTATATTACATGGTAAGGAAGCCGAAGTTGTTTCTTTTCCCTTCGACCCAAAGTTCAGTTCTTTATTCACGGTACAGTGTTCTTAGGCTACTTTCTTCAAATGACTAATATCATGAACATCTTCTGAACAAAATATTGGGTGGCCAGATTTATTGGCACCAAAAGAAATTTTCTTGAACTTACCTTCTTTTTCTTTTTCTTTTCTTTTCTTTTTTTTTGGGGGAGGAATTTTTTAGAAAACATATAAATTTTGTTTACAAAATGCTTTTAAAACTATTTTTAAGAATTTTCTTTAAAAGGAACCAACGTTTAGAAAACACCAACATATTTGTTTTCGAAAAATTTTCAAAAAATTTCGCACAAAAATGTAAATGATGAGTGTTTTCAAACTCTTTGTTCTTTTTGTTTCTGAAAACACAAAAACAAAAAAAAACACAATCAATGAAATGCAGATGTTGATCCCTCACTACTAATGTTCATATGCATCTTCTGTCTTTTTATGCTTTGTTTTCTTCAGACGGTAGAGATTTTTCCATCTGCTCTGGTGCTCTTCATCCTTCGGAAGCTGCCACCAAGACGCATATCAGATCAGTATCATCCTATTCAGTGAAAGTGACTGTTTTACTTGCAATTTTTTTGAAGTAGATGCTATGATGAAGATGTAATGTATTTTGTTCTAGTTTTTGATTTTGAACTTGTGTGTGTGTGTGTATCGATTCATTGATTCGTGTATATATTCTGCTATCCTCTTCTCATTCAAAAATGGCCACCCTAGGAAGTCAGAGGAAACCTGTTACTGACTTTTATGTCATACAGCAACTGTTTTTCATTTTTTTTTTTGCTATCATAATAATGTCAAGATACAAAAATAGGACTCCTCAAATTCTTTGATTTTCCACATTATAATGGCACACTTTCTCTTACCATGCATTTCTGTCATCCTCTAAGAAGTACGAATACAGGTCACAAGTTGGGATACGACAAAAAAAAATTAATTATTTATGTCCAAAATCTAAGATAAATATGATAGGCATTGATACATATGTGTTTTTTTCTCTCTATTTATTCGTATTTTATTTCATTTTAATCCCTAATCAATTTTAGAAAAGTATAGCAAAAAATTCTACAAATTTGTCCTGAAGTGTTACTATGTTAGACCCGAGTGTTCCTTACGTGTCAAACACAGCCACGACACTCATATTGGCGTGTCCATACTAAGTTATCGTTATTTGTCAGTGTCTTGTTCTTCAATAGTGAAAATATATGTTGACTTTTTCTTTTCTTTTATTTTCTTTCTAACTTCTGTATTTTCGCAGGAAAGAAAAGCCCCAGCTTTTTCTTTCTTCTCAAGAAAGACACCACCAAAGAGAGAGAGAAATCAACATCCAGGAAGGAGGTCATAATTTTGGGTCACCATAGTTAATAATTTGGATACAAGCTCAGCAACTGTGAACCTACTATTTCAAGTTGGGAAAAATAGAGTTGAAAAAGAAGAGGTTGAACAAGAAGAAGAATGTGTAAATCATTTTGTCAAACAGGGTGCTCAACATTCACTCTGCCGCTGTTGTTTTAACACTGCTAGTTCCAAGTTCAAATGAAGAGAAGGGTTGTCGTTGTACAATTTTTTTTTGAATTCCTCGTATAAACATGAATTATAACATAAACAAAGCGAAGAACAAAAATGAAAAAGTAAGTAACTTTTTATACTTGTGAAGAGAAACCACTTTGGGAAGATTGGAAAAAAGTCAGTTTTTTGGCTTTTTAGCTTTTTTAGTCAAAAAAATCAATTTTTTTATCCAAAACAATCCAGCTTTTTGCCAAAAAAGTCAAAAAGTCAAAAAATTAACTTTTTACCAACTTTTCAAAACACTACTAAAGAGATGGAAGACAAGTTATTTGATGTTTGTGAAACATTGGCTTGTTGTGGCAACGTGGTTTGTAGTCGCGTTTGGGCGTGTGATGAAAAAGTCAAACGTGGATTTTTTGTTCTTAAAACCCATTTGGGAAGTTGGATAAACGCAGAATTGTAATTTACAAGAATGCCATGCACAAGTCATTTATTCGATTAAGGGCATTGCAAAGAGTAGGTGCAATTCTTTAAATTGCATGAAAAAAAGGGGGATATTGTGATCATTTTACATTATGCCATGATGATATGACAACATTAAAAATTATTAATTAAAAAACTCAAAAAGCTAAAAAGTCACTTTTTACCACCTTCTTAAATGACTTTTTGAAAAACAAAAAAACTTGATTAAAAGTCAAAAAATCACTTTTTACCAACTTCTCAAAATAAGCCATTGTCACATTTCCTTTTTCGTCTCTCCAAATGTCCCATCTTTTGGCAAGCAAAAAAAAAGCTAGTTTTTAATTTTTTTACTAATTTTGGATCACATCACCTCTCACATTTTTTACTTACAAAAAAACAAAAAGTTAACTTTTTACCAACTTTCCAAGACACCATTAAATTTCACCATTTTACCACCTTTTAGAATCCTAATCGCCTTCCTGTCGCCTTGAAAACTTAGATTTGATCAAGAAAGAGGTAGGTGTAACAAGAAGAACGGAGTGTTAATATCACGCCCCAATTTTTAATTACTCATAAACATTATCAAAGCCTGTAATTTAAGTTCATCATTTTTTTTATTATTTATTTATTTTTTTAAAACATCCATTACTCTTGAGTAATAGAAATACAATGATACATGTTCTCTCTCTCTCTCTCAAGAAATATTACAATGACAACAATTCATGTCAATCTCCTATTGTGAAGCTACAAATTAATAAAATACAAATACAAGATCCATTTCTTTTACCTCTACTATGAAGTTATACAAAGAGACTCTAGGACTTCATAACTCCTCTATCAAAGAATCCACACTTTCTGCCTGAAAAAAAAAATAAAACAATAAAAGGGTAAGCACTAATGCCCAGTAGGAATCTCATAGTTCTAAATCAATAACTAACACACAGATAGAAATGATCATGCATACAGGGTGATACCATATAGTAGGGTGACATTTTATAATTTGAAAATATCATAAATAAAATACCTTTTTCTCAAAAACTATTTAAACACTTTTAGGAAAAACCTTCAGCCATTAAAATCATCCCTTAACTTTAGAAAACCATAGATCCTTGTAAAACAAACATATTTAAGAAACAACATCGTTTACAAATTATTAACCAATTCTCAAAATACTTCTAATTTAATTTCTATTTTTAACATTCCTCTTTTTCTTTCATTCTTCTTTCCTATTCGTTATTTTTATTCAGAACCCCATAACATCATGTTCAAGTTCCCTTTTTAAGTCACTAACAATTCTCCTATATCCAATTTACTTCATTATTTACACACTCAAATTTTATTTCAAGATAACGCAAGATTAATACACCCTTTCCGATTCAGCCTCTCATTTATTCACAGAACAACACTCATAATTTACTTTTATTATCATAACTAATTCATTAAGTTTACCATCACTAATCCATAATCCCCTTACCCATTTTTGGGTTCCATTATTTACAAATAATGTCTATATACATTTCCTCTTTAAACCAAATTACACATCAATTTGCAATTTCACCGATTCATCACAAGTCACAAATAACATCATCAACTCAACACACTTGTCAACTGTCACGACCCAAACCCGGCCCTATGGGTTTAGTACCGTAACCGGCCAGTAATCCGAGATTACCGAAGGCCTGCAGAACAGTAATACAGTAAAACAGAGTACAGGGCCTGGCGGAAGCCAATACAGTAAATAAATAGTGTCCATTGAGCTGTGACAGTCTGTATGCAAAAAGGCTTTTCATACATTATACAAAAACCAGTACAGAACAGTAAGTACAATATTTACATCACACAGTACAGGGACCTAATCCCTGTATAACAGTACAGTAAACAGTCAGTCTATACAAAACAGTGAAACAGTACAAAAAAGGGGAAATTCTAAAACACCCCTAAGCCTTAACAGTAGGCTCGGAACCTCGCAGTGAGGCACAAAGGCTGGCTTGACAAAACTGGAGTAACCCTGACGCCTCTAGC